CCACGGAAGCGTGGCACCTGGAAGAAGACCCACATGCATGCGCCAGGAGGTGCTCACGGCGGCGTGAACTCGGAGCCCCGAGGCAGAGATGCGCCGAGTGCCCACCAACATCTGAGTGCATGCACGGAGACGCATTCGATTTTCTTGCGACGGACACCACGGTAAACCACACGCGGTGATTTGGGTGAACCGCACAATCGAAACTATGAACGGCCGATGACAAACCAGTGCACGCCGTGACTCCGCACACCGGCACTCCAACGCCGGCCCCCCGGAGCCCGTCGTCTGAGGGGCGCGGAGCTGGCAGCAGAAGGGCGGGTCGGCCGGGCCGGAGCCGGGCTCGTGAGCGGCTGTGACGGGGAGGGGCTCGGCAGAGCCCGGCAGAACTCCCTGTTTGGCCTGGGCGTGGGGTACGCATGCCTACTTCATAATCACTTGCAAACAGCACATATGTGCTCTTTTCACTCTCTGATCTGCACGTGCCGTTTCAGAACACACGGCTGTGAAAGACGAGGGCGACGGAACCGAGGCCTGAAGGGCAGGTCGGTCTGCCAGATGCGGCTCGCGCGCTCCGCCGGCTGGCCAGTGCCCCGGCCCCCCAACACTCGCCTGGGCTCTGCGGGCTCTGCGGGCTCTGCGGGCTCTGCGGCTCCGCGGTCAGGGAGCTCTCGAAGGGTGCCAGGAGGTGTGGAGGGGCGGCCCCTCGCAGCGCAGGCACCCGCCGACTGTGCTCAGAGGGAAAAGGCAAGAGGGAGGCCGGCACTTCCAGGGTCGCTCTCTTCTGGAAACCCGCTGGGGTTTCCCGCGCTCCCCAGTCCACCCCAGGAAGCCCCACAGTGAGAGCGCTGCTGCGCCTGGGAGGGCTTCAGGAGAGAAGAACAGCACACACAGTGCTGACTGGGACGGATTCCGGTTTCTCGCAAAAACTGGGGCAGTGCTTGGACACTTTCTGGCCCCACCCTGAACCCGGACGCTCGGCCCTCTGCCCGCCCTGGACTAGGGCACCCCTCCCTCCGTGCGCTCCCACGAAGACGAGTCCCTTGTAAAAGCGAGGCTGGTCCCAGTCTTGGCAAAGGTCCCCAGGGCGGGGCCTGGTCAACGTCCTGATCTGGCCCTGGCCCTGGCCCGGCTGCTGGCCCCCAGTGAGGCTCTGCCCGGCACGGAGCCTGTTCTCACGGGCACTCAGTCAACCCCGCAGGGAAGGGAAGGGAAGGGAAGGTCCGTCCCCAACCCAGCAGCCTTTGCTGCGGCTCACGTCCCCGTCTGTAGAAGGGTCCCGGGTCTTGTGTCCACTTTGCAAAGCGGGAGTATCTTCTCCTTGTTGTTTTGCAGGAGTCTTCACACACCATGGATGTGAGGCCTGTGTCCGATTTATGGATGCAATTACCTTTTCAAAGCCTTTCCTCTCATAGTCAGTGCCTTTCTGTTACAATGTTTATGTTTTCTTCAAGAAACCTTTGCCTACCCCAAGGAAAAAGCCACATCTTCTGACTCCTCACAGAAGCTTGCTGGTTTCCCCTGTCACGCTGGGGTCTGTGATTCATCCCAGGGAACGTCTGTGAGGGGTCACGGCGGGGTGGTGGGTTTTCCCCGTGACGTATTTTTAAGTGGTCCGAGACCATTTGTGGGAAAGACCGTCCTTTCCTCGCCGAGTGGCAGCGATGCCCATTTGCGTATGTGTAAACCCGTTTCGAAATCCTCTGTTCTGTTCTGTTCTGTTCTGATATTGTTATCATCGTTATTATTGTTGGACTTCTCCCGCTGACTCACAGCGCAAGCAGGGCTGAGCATTCACCTCTCTCGGGGGGCCCGGCGGCTACGACAGGGTCCCTGTGCAAGAACATCTGCTCGCTAAGAGACTCGGTGCTGGACAACTCACAGACATGGTGACACTGTACGTTCACCACAGCCCCGTGGGGCAGGTCCCATTTCATGGACAAAGAAGCTGAAACTCATGACAAGTGGCAGAGTCTGGGTCTGCTGGCCCCAGAGACGATGCTGTGGACACTACGCTACACAAGATTACAAGGAAAAACACTGCTTATTATTCATCTAAATGGTTACATTTCTGTATGCGTGTGAAACGTACAAGTGAGGTCTTTCAATACTGAACAGAAAAAGGAAAAGAAAGAAAAGAAGAATGAAAGGAAGGGAAAAAAAAAGAAAGAACAGAAAACACAAAACCAAACCCTGTTTGGACTCCCATTCTATCCCTGTCCCCTCCCCCTCCAATAAAAACAACATTAAAAAACCCACATCAAGGACAGCTGATCAAAACATAGATCAAAAAAGAATGAAAGAAAAACATTTCAAATAAAGTTCAGCTGTTTCTATTTGGAAACAACAACAAAAAATCCCACTTGCCACAATAAACTGACAAATAAGAAGTGGACTCTGCGGCAGTGGAACTGGAATTTTCCGATGGCATCTGCTACTGTGTCATTACTGCGGGGGACCCGCAAGTGCGCGGGTGACGGAACAGCTGGGCGCTGGCCGGGCCTGCGCTGCCGGGGAGGCAGCACCCCCCTAGACGGGTCTTCCCAGCCGCCCACCCCCTGGAGGAAACGTCTTTTCCCTGAACCTAGAAACCTCCACTGGCCTCTAGACTCCACCTCCAGAAACGGGCCAGCAATAAGCCTCCCTGCCTCCTTCCTGGACAAATTTTCTCTGATCCGCCAGCCTGGAGCAGCTAACCGCCCCCCAAGGGCAGCCAAGAAAGCGGAGGTCTCCTGCAGGGCCCCAAACAGAGGCTCGGGGTGGGGGGGGGGAGCCGGGACTGTGGTGCAGAGGCACAGCAAGCCCCTGCCCCGCCCCGCCCCGCGCAGGGGATTCGAGGACTCAGCCAGCCGACCCAGCGTGCCCGGAGAGTGGATGTATTTTCATTAACTGATGTTTAACATCAGAATTGTCCCTAGACTAAGCACACCCAAAACATCTCTTGCTTTTTAACTCAAAATACTGAAATTAAGGCTCAGTAAAAGCTTGGCTGGTGTTAATTACTGAAAGAGGTTAGAAAACAAATTTGAACGGGTATCACTGCCAAGCCCAGCTTAATTACTTCACGAAAGAATCAAAGAACTCACGGGGGAGACTTCTTTCGGCTCAGAACCGCCTGCCAACAACACAGCCACGCACGCACGCACGCACGCACGCACGCACGCCTCACCACGCTGCCGGGCGCCCCGCATCCGCGTGCTCACCCTCCGGCTCAGGGGGAGCGGCCTCAACCGTGACTCCCGGGCTCCGGCCCGAGCACCCGCACAGACGGCGGCGGCGACGGCTGAACTCGGACGGGCCGGGTTCGGGACGTGGGCGCGGCAGACGAGCGAGGTGCTCGGCGGGCCGCCGGACCGTGCCTGAGGCTTGGAGAGCCTGTCTGGTTTGGCCGTGGGAGCCACAGGGGCGGGCAGGGCAGTTAAAGCCTCACCCCTGCGGGGCTCCCCGCCCCGCTCTGGCCAGGGTCCCCTCTGCCCGGATGGCGGCAGCAGCCTCCCCACAGGACCGCCTGGCTCTCCGCTGGCCCAGAGCGCGTCTGGGAGCAAGTTACTGTGGCCTCTCTGAAAGGGTTCTGCCCCCTCCCCGTGACTGGTGGGCGGGCAGCGTCAGCATGTGACCCAGAACCAGGTGCCCGCCGCGCTTACATGCGGGGTCTGACCTTCAGGGTGAGTTGCCGAGACTGTGCATTTGCTCGTCTCCACGCTGGGGAGGACGAAGACACCCGTGGGGACCTCGTGGTGCGCCCGGGAGGAAAAAGGCAGCGTGCGCGGACACACAGGACGGGCTCCCCGAGGACGGGGACGGTCAGGTGCGGCGGGGCCGAGGCAGCGGGACAGCTGGGGTGCCGTGTGCAGCAGCGTCCGAGGCCGGGGCCTGGCTGCGCGCCGCCGCAGACTGGTGAGACCAGCCTTCCTCCAGCAGGTCGGCGGGGCACACAGGCGCGAACTGGGGGAGCCCCGCTTTCTGTGCTACATCACCCCCCTCGCCAGGAAACCGACAGCTGTACCTGCACCCGGTGCGCTCTCACCGAGCGCTCTCACCGTCGGTCGCCTGTGACCGACGCTTTCTCCTGTCCTCCTTCCCGCCCTTCTCCGGCGCTGAAGAACGCCAGAGCCCCGCCAGAGCCCCGCTCGGAGCGCCCGGTGGCACCGTGCCCCGCCACACCAGCTTTGTCTCACCTGGAAGGAGAGGCTTCCAGGGCCACCTGTCTGTCCCTGACAGGCTGACGGGCTTCGTGTCCCCTGAGAGACATTTCCCAGCGCTAATCAGACAAATGACAGTGTCTTTAGCACAAGTAAGCATTTCCCACCTACTTACTCTGAAACACTTGATTGTCATTGGCACCTTTTCTGTTCTTGACAGAAGCCACAGTGAGAGGGGTTTTATTTTAAAATGCACCTCCCCACCCCCCACCTATGTGTCCTCTCTCTCTCCCGGGCTGCGCTCCTCTCAGTGTCCCCATGGGCTCCACTCTCAATGTCCCTCCACTGGCCCCACCTGCCCCTCCCCACAGGCAGCGGGGCAAGGACTGGGCCGGGCCGGGCTCTCACCGGGGAAGGTCCCGGAATCGGTTTCTCTCTCAAGCCAGAGCAGGCTGCACGGGCCCCCCAGCTCCTCGGCCCCGCACCGGCCCCACTCCCACAGCGCAGCTCCCGGGTGAATGCGAGCCCGCAGGACCCCAGGGCCCGAGACTGCGGGCGGCCTGTTTCAGCCCAGGGGAGGGCAGGAGCCACAGCCCCCCGCTGCAGTCACAGAGGGTCCCAGGACGGGCCCGTCAACGCCGAGAGTTCGGTGCCACCGCCACGGGTCTCCCTGGAATGCCCCGTTCACCTTGAAGACTCCGGCTCGCCGTCACACAGGCCGCAGGGCGGCTGTCCAGCCACAACCCTGAGCAAGTGGCCCCGTTCTGAGGAGGAAGCCGACCAGAGAGCAGGCCGGCCACACCGCGCAGAGGCCAGGCGAGGGGCCGGGGCCGGCCGGCCGAGGCTCACAGGCAAGGATACAGGGGTTGCTGTCGTCCAGGCTGCAGCTGTCCAGGATCAGGGGGATGCCATCCAGCTCGCCGACCTGGGGGGAGGGAGGACACATTCAGACACGGCAGCACCCGGGGAGGGCACAGCGGCTTGCTTCTCCCCTTTCAGCTCCTCGCTCGTGGCCACGCTGTTCGAGCAACCACCAACCAGGAGTATTTAACAACAGACACGGAAACAGAAAGTGGTATTTTTCCTTTTCCCCCTTCCTCAGAAATGCTTGGGCGACTGGGTAGCCATACAAACAAGGCTAAGGGCAGGTCTCCTTCTGACACTCTTCTCCGGGAGAGACTCCAGTGCACCTGAGTCTCTCACAGCCACCAGCACCAGTGAGGGAACCGTGTGTCTCAGCCGGGAGCAGCAAAGCTTTTCTAACTACGGTCCAAAACCCAGGAGCAATAAGGAACACGCTTCACCGGAGTTTTTAAAAAGGCAAATGAAAACTGGAAAAATTATTTGTAAGATATCACAGGCAAAGGGTTAATTATTTTAACACACAAAGAACTAAAAATGGAGAAAGGACCAACCACCCAATAGAAAAATGGATGAGGTACAAGAACGCGGAAGCAAGACACAGAAAGCAGCGACACACAGAGAAACGCAGGTGGGCCATAGAGACCACAGAACATGCCCCCCGCCGCTCACAGCGCGAGGACGGCGGGTTATCGTCCCACGGGAGACAGGACGTCCTCAGTGGTCAGAGCGGCAGATGCGGCGTGTGACCGGACTCTGTGACCGGACTCTGTGGGTGGGGGGCAGGGAGACGGCACCCAAGTGTACCGCTGGGGCACCCACGGAGGGGACCTGGGCAGGATGCAGCCAAACCACGTGCCATTTACCCTTCTGACCCGGCCACCCCCTTTCTAGGACCGCAGAGCAAATACACACCGTCACGTGGAATTACGTTTGCACAAGGTGATTCACTGTAGCGCAGTTTATATTTTTATAACAGTTTTATTGCAATTGTAATTCTCAGGCCATAAAACTCGCCCTCTTCACTCAGCGGGCTTTGGTGTGCTCACGGAGTTGTGCAATCGTCAGCTCCGTCTGGTTTTAGGACATTTCCGCCCCCCCCCCCCCCGAGGAGAATCCCCGCACCACCCAGCAGTTACTCCCCTGCCCTTCTCCCTCCGGCCCTCGGCAACCGTTAGCCGCCGTCTGCCTCGGGGACGTGCCTGCTCGGGACGCTGCGCACCGATGCAGTCACACCACACGGGGCCTCCTGTGTCCGGCTGCCTTCACCGAGCACAGCGGTTCCTCCGGTCACCGTGCCGCAGCAGGTGTCGTGTCCGTTCCTTTTTACGGCTGCGTCACACCCCACTGTCTGGATGTACCACCTTTTGTTTACCCGTTCAGCGGGTGATGGACATTTGAGTTATTTCAAGTGGTTGGTTATGGTGACAACGTTAGCAGGAACATCTGTGTACATGTTTTTGAGTGGACATGTGTACTGAATTCTCTTGGCTACATACCTAGTAGGAGTAGAATTACTTGGTTTTTAGGTGACTCCATATTTAGCATCTTAAGGAACTGTCGGACGGTTTTTCTAAATGGCCGTGCCCCTTAACACCCCACTAGCAATGCACCAGGGCCCCAACCTCCCATGCCCTCGTTAACGCCTGCCATGGCCTGTGTTTCAGCCTGGCCGTCCTCGTGGGTGCGAAGGGGTGCGGCACCGTGGTGTGGATTTGCAGTCTCTGAAGACTGACGAATGCCCCCGAACGCCGGCAGCATGAGTGACAGCAAACACCGTGCAAACGACTCAGCAGGCACCAGCACGGACTGGTCAGGAAGCTGCGGCGCGGATGCAGAGGCCGTCTCTGCGGCTGCGACAGCGTGGGGAGAGGCTCCCTAAGCGGGCGCTGCGGACGGGTGGGTCTGGACCCAGCGGCGAGTGAGAGGAGCAAAGAGCGGACTGGAACGGGCTTGTACGCGAACCTCTAGGGGAAAACAGGAGGCAAAACCACAGACTGTCCTGCAGGCCGAGAGGAAACGATAGAGGGTTAAGCAAAGGACCAGCGACGGTCCTCCAGAGGGCCAATGAGGCGGAAGACACGGGAACAGAGACCATGCCTCTGTGAACGTACCAGGTCGCACAAGTCTGACTCCGGAATCCTGTGTACATGTTACAGAGTCTATAAAAATTAAACGTGTAAAGTTATAACAACAGAAACAAATTAATCGATGGCGTGTGAAGCAGAGCAAACTTATTTCATGGGACTGAGCCAGCATTCTGCCTTTGCGCCTCTGGGGAAATGCGTGCATCCTAAGCTCAGAGAACTGCACGGGAGCCCGAGGACCGCGGCAGCCTTCTGGGGGCGACGACTCTGAGCGCACGGCTGCTCTGAACCGGCACATTCGTATTTAAAGCAAATGGGTAATTAATCGTTAGGAACCAAGATTTTCAGCATAAAAAGTTAATTTTAATTTACATTATAAATGGCAGCATAAATGCAAGATAGAGTTTCCCTTTCCTAAAGAACATTCACCCCGTAGTAGCCATGACCACCGCAGTGTAAGATGGACCGTGATAAACGTCAGGTCCCGCCAACGAGGCCAGCTCTCTGGCTACTGGGCAGCAGACTGCTGACGGCAGGTGAGGGGGCGCCAGGGCATTCGCGGACTGGGAGGCAGGGCCGAGGAGGGGCGGGAGCCAGCCCCGCGCAGCCAAGTGCGGGGGCCGAAGCCTGCTCCGACAGCCCTTCTGAGCCGCACGGCTCTGGGCAGGGCCCCAAACCTCTAAGACATGGCGTCATCATCTGTAAAGTGGAGATGACGGGGACCAATTCCCAGGGGGACTGAGGACGGCACACAGCGACTTCTCAGTGGCAGCAGGGGGAGGAACAGCAACAAGTTGTTCAGGTCCCGGCTGTTCGCCGGACACTCACTGGCCACAGCGAGGAGGTCAGCAGAAGCCCCTGAAGGCTAGGATTGCAGGACGGCCACCACCCAGCCGAGTGTGTGGCTCCGCTTTGTATTAGACAAAACTGTGAATGTATTTTCAAAAACCAGGTTCCTTTGTGTTTTTTGGGGGGTAAGGATTCAGGACCTATATTAGTCGATGCAAGAGAAATACTGCATTTTCCAGAGCAGAGAGAATTCTCATGTGTGCTAAGTGGGTAGGATGTTCTTTGAGAGAAATCAAGCCCCGTGCTGAGAACCGCAACGCAGGCAGGCAGTGAGCGATGGTCACGGCGGCGCTGTGGCTGGACTGGGGCGGGCTCCCCAGTCAAACGGTTCTCCTTCACAGCAGGGAGCGCTGCAATGACGCAAAACAAGTTTTTATACGAGCTTATTACGTGTTTGTGACCTCAGTGACCTGAGGCGAACAGGTCATTCATTGCACACCTGGGCATGAACACAGGGGAGGGCACTCGAGGAAGCGCACACGAAGGGGACACCTTCCGCGGTGACAGGCAGCACAGCTGTCACTACCAAGCTCAGGTTCACGGCAGCAGCTGCCGGTGTGGGGCTCCCGTCTGGGGCCGTTAATTAGGAAATTAACAGGCTTTCTTCTGTTCTCACTTCATAAAAAAGGAAGTTGTTTGTTTTTTAACCCGACACGTTGGGAACTGACTCGAGACCCGTAATGGACGAGTCTCGGGTTGTAACTCGCATGAAAAGGCCAGGCTCAGTCCACGCTTTCCCGAGCTGGCACGCCTGCGCCAGACACGCCAGCCAGCTTAGGCAAACGAACGCCCCGCCTCCAGAAGCGAAGGATAAGCAGAGGGACCGCTGCTTGACTTGCTGACTGTTCTCGCCCGCCCTGCCAAGAACCTCAGATGAGGCACTCTGCGAAGCGTGCCAGCCCACCCCTAGTATCTGCGCTCCTTGGGAAAATGTGTCAGGTGGGGAGAAAACAGGGCCTCAACTGTCCTGGCTGCTCTCCCCTCGGATGGTAAGTTAAAAGCAACAGCAACAAAGAAAGCCCTGGAGACAGGCGAGAGCACACCACCAACGCAGGACCGCCGTCTGTCCCGGGCAGGTGTCCAGTGAATCGCACCTCACCAGCACTGGGTAAACACGCGCCTAACACAGCTCCTCCAAACCAACGGGCAAACACAAGGTCAGAGGGGTCCTCGCACAGACGTAGGGTGGCTGTGACCGTGCTCAGGCCAGGCTCCCACCAGGCACGAGGCCCCGCAGACGCGCTAGCACCTGGCACGGTCCGCCTTCTAGGGGCATCGCCTGGTGACATTTGCCCACCAACTGGCGGTGTGGAGCATCTCATCGGGGCTCGCGGGCCAGTCCCAACCCCCTTGTACAGCACTCCGCAGGCCTTCTGCCCACTTCGCTGACCGGGCCGTTCTCGTTGGGCAGTCCGAGCTCTTCGTGTATTTGGGACAGGCTGAGTCAGGCCTACGCCGGGCACATGCGTCAAGAGCATTTTCCCCACTGTGGGGCTGGCCTTTCATTCTCTTAACAGTGTGCTTCCGAAGATGGTGGCTTTTCAGCGCCCACGAAGAACAGCGTGCCCGTCTCCTTCAGGGTCAGTGAGGGCCGCGGCGCAGGGCCAACCAGGCTGGTGAGCGCGGTGCCCCTGCCGGGCTCCCGGTGTTCCGGCACAGCAACGAGCATGCTGTCTCAGGCAGTCTTTCCTAATAAAGTATAAAACTAGCTGCTGAGTTTTTTTAAAACAGATGCCCTTTATCAAGCTGAAGAAGCTCCTTTCCACTGAGTTTGCCGCAAATTTTTATTATGAGTGAGCATGAGATTCTGTCAAATGCTTTTCCTCTATTTATTGAGATAATCATCTCTTTCCCCCTTTTACTGTTCAATACTTGGGAATCAACATGTTTTTCTAACGTTGACTCAACAGTGCGTGGCTGAGATAAACCGTCACCATTCGTGATGATGCATCACCCTTTTACACAGAACACAATGAGTTAGTGTTGAGAAACAATTTGTTTCTAGTCATGATTCTGTGAATGTTTAGGCTTCTGTAGTTTGTTTTTTTTCCTTTTAAGGCTTTTGTCTGAAATACATCAAGATGAGTACACTGTCAGCTGCATACAATAGGCTGGAAAGTGTTCCCTC